GCGTGGTAAATCCATACGTGGTAATTTGACGCGTGGTAATTCGACGCGTAGTAATTCGATACGTAGTTATCCAACGCGTGGTAATCCAACGCGTAGTAACCCAGCGTGTGGATATCCAACGCGTAGTAATGCAATGCGTGGTAATTCTACGCGCAGTAATCAGAGCGCGATGATGGCGCATGCGCAGACGCGACAGTTCCGAGCATAATGGCTGAGTGCTCCTCGCGCTCTGATTGGTCCGCGTTCAGGGAACGTCAGCCACACCCCTACACTACTTGTGAGACACCCTGTATTACTCTAATTCTATGTATCCGTACAATTTCTATTTCACAATTGTAAAACTACTTGTCCCTTAAAATGGTTCTGATCTATTTCGACTCAGATTCCACGTCATTTATGTTATGTATCAGTCAAGGGTTGATCTCCAATTGAAACCGTGAGTTCAGAAGATATTTCCATCGTATTATTATTAGTCTGACATTTCACCTTTCCGAACATCGCGAAAGTGAGAAGTTATTTTCCCTTGTTCTCTCCGTCTTTTGTCAAGTTAAATATACTGCTTCGACGAACTTGACGTTTGCTTTAGTTTGATCAATTAAGGAGATATGTGCAAAGCAAACCGGGTCACCTTTATCGGTTTTTAAGATGTACAGTTTTCATAAAAATTCGTTTCTTTATGAAACCTTTGAGGTTGGTCTGAAAAGGATTCCAGCAATATTTGTTAAACGTCGAAATTAAATAGGGAAAATCGTAATATTAGTTTGAATTCCACCTGTGAGGAGTGAAATTCTCTGCAATATTCAGTAATTTTACAGAAGATTTCTAAAATGATTCGATAGAAAAGCATAGTTTCGAAAGCAATTTAATTAAAAAATGCAATATGTTTATCCTGGAATAAGGTGAATACCGATGTTTGGTTTCTCGGTAAAGCATCTCGAAAATATTTAGGTCGACGAAATTCAATATTTCCTTCGTTTTTAATCTCTCGAGAGTTCGATATAACATTCAGCGTCTTTGAGTACTCGAATATTCTCCTGTAAAGTGTTCTCGATTTTTTTCAATGGGAACTTTTGCTGATAACCGATAAATGAAAAAGACCGATTCGTAGCTGCACAGTTCGAGCTTTAATTCCATCGTCCGAGCAATTGGCTTTAATCTAAAACTAATCGCGATGCCATCGCCCGACCCCATTCAAATCACGGCTTAATCCAGATTATCGGATCGGACCATTGCGATGTAGACTTATCGTGAACGATGCACGGTCATATTTGCCCAAAATTAACCAGATTTTTTATCGTCATATTATAATTTCTTCGAATCGTTCACCAATTTCGTTCACCAACTGTTTATTCGTTCACCAACAAAATTATAACCGGTATGCATAAATTTATTTTAGTTCTTGTTACATTTTATATTTTTGTCTGCACAGGTTTTTAAAAAAATCAAAAACATTTATTACAATTTTTAAAGACAGTACAAGTCTTTCATTGACTTTTTAGTTTCATACAAATACACCCAAAAACTGAGGAACATTTATTACAATTTTTTAAGGAAGTACAAGAAAAAGATTCACCTGGAAGCCACAGTTACAATCAGACACAATTCCCAAAGCAGTTATAAATAATCAAAAGTCATGCAACAATCATAGCCATATCTTGCCAAGTGTTTCTCAACTCGAATTCTGTGCGCGTCTCCGAGAGTGCTTCTAATTATAACTAAGTTAATTGGTTATCGGTCTCGTTAAAAAAACATCGGACAGCATTAATTAATTAGTAACTGTAGGAATAATAACCGCATTTGGCGAACGTGCCAAACTAACCGAGACTTGACCCGAGCAATTCCTTGCTTGACCGCCGTCGTTCGACGAAATTTACTCCAGTATTCGAATTACGCGATTATCCGCGGATAGAACCACACCTGTGGCCACACACGCCGGGCCTAAGATCGATTTCAACCACTTGACGCGTTTATGGTATGCGTCACCCCTTAAACACTGATACCATAGCTTTGGTAACATTCAAAATTTCCGGTCTATGTGCAAAATTTTCGAACGTGTTACGTGATTATAATTCTGATGTGTCTTTGCTCTGGCATTTCGAGGTCTTATTAAAAGTACTATAAATAAATCAATATTTATAAAGCTTTGATAGTAGAGAAATAAACATTTGAGTTATAAGTAGCAAGTAATACATGAATAAACAATTGAATTGTAAAGTAATGGTAAATAACTGAATATGATTGGACATGTGGACTCTGAAGCAGTAATAGTGAATAAATAAATATATGAATTATAAAGCAAGAGTAAATAAAGAAATGCAGGAACACATAAATTATAAATGTACAGTAGAAAATAAGTAAGCAGTTGTTTTATCAAGTGAAAATAATAAATAATGGAACAATAAAGTAACAATAATAGATGAATATGAATGAAGAATTCTAATAATAGCAAACAAACGTTTGAATAATTAAATTGAAAAATGATAAATAAATGAACGAACTGTTAAATAATAAAGTGACAGCAGTAAATAAATAAGTAAGCACTTGTATCAAGTAAAAATAATAAACACCTGAATTATAAAGTAACAGTAGATGAATATGAATGAAGAATTCTAAAGGCAATAATAGCAGACACATTTGAATGATAATATAGCAATACTGAATAAATAAATGAATGAGTAATTAAATAATGAAGTGACAGCAGTAAATAAATAAGCACTCGTATCAAGTAAAAATAATAAACCCCTGAATTATAAAGTGACGATGCTAAATGAATGAATATGAGTGAACACTCAGATTTTGAAGCAGTAACAGCACAAAAATAAACACTTGAACTATGAAGTACATAAATAAGTATACAGGGCGTCTCACAACTAGTGTAGGTTCCTGTAATGGGGGTAACGTAACGTGAACCAATCAGAGCGCGAGGGTTACGCGTGCGCAGACGCGAGGGTGGCAGCTTCGAGTCTAATGGCTGCGATTTGTCAATGCAAAAGTTTGGTAATTTGTAATTTTAGAAAATCAGAAATTTGGTGATTTAGTGATTTAACTATTTGAAATGTTGCAAATTTTGAAATTAGAATTTTATACAATTATTTTCAGAAATGAAAATAACCTTTCATTTCCTAAATATGCTATTTAAAAACACAGTCATTAAATGACTGTAATGAAAATTGCAATAATCAAAATTGTCTTCCATTTCCTAAATATAGATTTGAGCATACATGTAAATCTACCTCTATCTTTGTTAGAACGTTCTGCAACTTTCATATGTAATTCGCACGTACTCTCATATGACCTTCCTAAAATGACACCTACTCTTTCCTGATCTTCGACATTTTTATCGCTTTACCTAGCACGTATCAACTATAACCTGTTCAATCTTCCTCAAAACCGTAAATTTCCGGCGTTATAAACGTGTAACCATAATGTCACGCGATTCGAACCGTGGAGCCGAAAATCTCCAAGGAAGCAGAAATACTGTGAAAATGTCAGAGCGGTGAA